AATTTTACTAAATATAAACTCTCAATCTATGGTGTTAATCAACGTTTAAGTCTAAAAAATTAGGAATTTTTACCTCTTTTAATCAACGTTTAAGTCTAAAAAACAATAGAGTTATTATAAGTTTTTTTCTACATCTTTTAAAACATTAAATATGAGCATATTAGGGCTAGCTTGTAAAATAATTAATATATTATCTCACTAAAACATTTATACTAATAAAGATTTAATTTTAGCATATAAATTTATCCCTTGATATAAGAGAAAGTAATAGTTTACTTATTGTTGTTCACCATATACTATTTAATTATTATTTTATTATATAATAAAAAAGGAATATTATTAAATAGTGTAGTAGAATTGTTATAAAATTATATGAATTTTTTTTTACAATATGGATTTAATATTTTTTATGATTTGATAATATAAACAAATCTATACTTAACTTTGACAAATAAACAAATAAATACTTTAGTAAGTATTTAATGTATATACTAAATAGGAATATATTTGGTATAATCAAATACCAAATATAATCAAATAAGTCAAAGTGTACATTTTTCTTTGGTATTTAATTTTTTTATTATTAAAATCTTTTTATTATACTTATCTTTTTAAAATAAAACAAATAAATAAATTAATTAAACAAATAAAATATTATAATACCAAAATAGTAATGACATTTAATGCAGTTGACTTTTCTGGATAATAAATGTAGTAAATAGAATATCCTTTTATATAATATAATACGGAAATAGTAATGCAATAAATGCTGTTGACTTTTCTGGCTACTTAATTTGGTAAATACTACCCCTTTAATATAAGTATAGATTAGCACCATAAACCAATATAAATTATAAAATAAATAATACAAATTAAAAAATTTCAAGTAATGATTTTGTGAATCCTCTATCTCCAAAATGCTGCTCTAATGAGCCTTTTCTAAATTAGAGTTTTGGGCCCAAAAAACTTATCAAATAAGCTATTTACCAAACAGATTCAATAGCAGATTTGAGGGATCAAACTTCTCAATTAAGTCTAATCCGCTATCTACCAAACGGCCTAATATATATTTTAGATGTTTTGTACGGAGAAGACTTTGTCTGCATAAAATAATAAAATAGATATGATTTTTTATTTATTTAATGCATTAGCTATTAAACTTGTCTACGTCTCATCCATATGTATATATGTCTCAATTAGTGGGATACTCTTCTTAATTAATCTTTAAGTCAGTGCAAAAAATAAAATAAAATAAACTAAAAAATAAATCGATACGCGTACCATTGAAACTTGTGTTTATTCAACTTTTAGAGAACATCTCTTGTTAACCAGATTTTAAAAAAAATTCTTTCAAACACATTGAGATATCTATATATATAAAGAGGAGCAACATAACATTTAATTATATTATCATGCATTAAATTTTATTATTCTTTCAAAATTTTGAACACTTAATTTCATTTTTAAGTTACAAAATAACTTGCTTGAATGTCATAAATTATGAGCATAAACCAATTAAGGGAGTTACAAAATTGTACTCAAATTTTAAGTCACACCCACTCATGAAAATGGTCGGATGTATTAGCATAAAGAAAATGGTTGTAACGGCTCTTCCATAACAATTACTTGATCAAAATCAATTTTGAGAATTATTTTCTTAATTCATATTTTTTCATGAATTAAATTATGATTTATTTTTATTTTTTTATATTGTTATTTTTTTAAAGTATTCTTCTCTGTGTAAATGCACAGGTTGATTACTAGTTAAGTCTCAAATTCTGTACAACTCATTTAATAAACGAGTGCTTGTCAACTCTAAAAATGTTATTTTTAGTTTTACTTGATTTTTCTCAACTATTAGTATAATTCAATTTGTTAAGTGATGAAGACGAGCTCGCGATAGCTTTCTTGGAGAAATACGATCGAATCCCGACATTAAAATAATTATTTATTCATATAATTATTATTTCTATTACTACTTATTTATTCCTTTTTATTGTTAGGATAAGATTCTTTTTATTGTTAGGATAATATTTATCTGTTATGATTAAAACTTGATTAGCAAGTTAGGACTTTACTAGGCATAGGAGTCTATTTATTTTGTTGTAGTTTGTTAGAGGTTTTTTATCTCTTCTTGTTCTCATCGTATACCTTTCGCTGCGTCATTAAGTCTGAAGTTGAACTCATTAATTGTAATAACTAAGTTGAGTTCAAGCTTGTTTGTCGGCTATTTTAGTTAACAGCATGAATTGGATGAATTGGTGTTTTAGAAGTTCAACTCGTTAAGTCTGAAGTTGAATTCGCTAATATTAATAACTACGTCAAGTTCAAGCTTGTTTGTCGGCTATTTTTGCTAACGGGACGAATTCAACTATTAGAAGTTGGAACTCCATTTATTTTACGTAGCATATTGTAAGCAAAACCAACAAAAATACATTAAAAGACCATATATAATCCAGAAGAA